TTCACCTCAGTTTAGAAAACTTTCCATCTTCAAGCGATATGAAATGGACCATGGACTCACTGCCCTTCATGGAGGAGCTTATGTCACTCAACTTGCAAGGTATTTCGGAGTTGACTTCTTGGTTGTGCAATTTCCGCTGGATAGTAGGACTATTTCTATATCCTTAGACATCTTGAAATCCATAATTAAAATGTTACATTTGAGTGACAATGGCATTTGGGGAGTACGTGGAATTCAATTTCAAACCACTAACACATTTGATATGGAGGGTATCGTGTTCCGTCTTCCGAAAGCCAAGGCGGTAAGAGGACGAAGAGAGCTAATCAACGAGGAAGAACAGGATGAAATCAAGTATGAGGGAGGAGAGGCACATCTATCCACTTCTCATCCGTTTTCCCCACCACCCAACCATGCAAGGGATCTCCGATTTGAAGCGTGATAACGACAATCTTTCACAATCAAAAGAGGGAGAAGGAAGCACAGCTCCATATCATGGCGTGCATCCATGCTATAATGAAGATGGATATCCCGATTGAAGATGTATCGCCCCAATTTGCTCGCTCAACTTTCCCTTTGCCATTCCAAGAAGAAGAAGAAGGACCCTCCGAGGAGGATTAAGTACTAGGCATCCAAGAACTAAGTTCTATCTTTTCTTTTCTTTAAACAATATTTAATTATTTCTTTTATTTTTGTTTTAATTCTCGTACTTTAAATATTCTAGTAGTTGTAGTGACCTTAATTATATTATCTACTTATCGTACCTATGTCCTATAATCATCTTTCTTTCTTTCTTATGCGCTTCATCATTGTGAAAACCACCAGGAACACAAAGACCTACACTTGTGTACCTTCACCAACCCACAACCCAACCTATGGTAACCTTCATGATCTTCTCTTTTGAATCCCCCACATTGAGAATAATGTGTCGCTCAAGTGTGTGTGTGTGTGTGTGTGGGGGGGGGGGGGGGGGGGGAGTGAATGCTTGAATGATTATCATGATTGATTGAGCCATGAAGCACTAGTATCCTCCCTTGATATGTGTGAATGCTAGAGATTGATCGTGTTTGTGGTGTTGAATGGCTTATTGATTGTGTTTTGAAACCTAGAATGCAATGCCCAAATTATCCCAAATTTGAGGGATCCAAAACACCTTATTTCTTGCAACTTCCTACTCAGTATGCTTTGAATTTATAGATAATTGATGTTTTTGTTCGATAGGGAGTAGTTGTATGATTAGAGTACCGGTGAATGAGATATTTTACTCTCTTCTTCCTCTTTGGTGAGTTGATAATGCTTGCTATTTTAGGAAGAACATGTGTGCGGGACTCTCCACCACTTTTGAACTCAAAACTACTGCAAATATGTGCTCAACTTAAAAAAAAAATATTTGCAATAGAATCTTTCAGGTTAGAGCACCGAGCATAGTGTTTGAGTTAAGTGGTCAAAGGGGCTTTCTCTTGGCTCGAATTGCCACTCGAGGATGTGTTTGGGGACCAGATAGCTTTCTTGCGTCCCGATCATCTTTCACTCTTTACCATCCCCCAAACACCTCTCCTCCTCACAGAAAACAATACTCCGGCTCTCATTTGTACCCAACATGTGTGGCAACCCAATGTGAAGTGCAAGTTGGGAAGTGGTGTTTGCGCTAAGACGAATCCAACCATCAACTTCCCCACATGTGACCTTGATAGGAAAGACAATGATCCATCCGCTCTTGGTCATGAGGGAGGGAGGGATTATTTCTTGCAAAGAGTTTGCAACAGTTTGGTGCAATGAGCGTCGTTAGAAGAGCATAGAGTTTGCTCATTCGTCTCGCAGGCTATGTTGATTCAGCCGTGAAAATAGATCGTGGCCGCAAACACAAAAGTTCGCACCTACAATCATTCTCCTAAAGGCCGCGAACTTTCTCGATAGTGCCAGTGCTTATAAATAGTGGAGTTGTTGAAGAAAAAGAGGAGAGCCGACCTAGAGTGAGAAAGTTAGGGTTTTGGAGTGTTTTTAGAGAGGAAAACACATTGGGAGAGCTTCATTGAAGATCAAATCCACCCAAGGAGCAAGACGAAGTTGTAAGCAAGAAGAAGAAGATTGATTCCATCACTCCCTCTTTTCTAGTTTGTGTTTTATTTCTCTCTCTATGACTTGAATCTATAATGGTTGTTTAGGGTAAACCCAAGTTTATAGGTTGTGTATGTATGGGTTTTGAATGAATGTGTTTATCTAGTTGATTTTAATGCTTCATCTAACTTTAATTGTGCTTGGGCAAGTCGCACTAATCTTCTCTACAAGCCTACTTGAGTTTCTACGCTAGGTATGGAGTTTTAGGGTTAGACGGGTATGCTCCATTTGGCAAATTAGGGTTAGATGAATGAATAGGGTCTCCTGGTGGACGAAACGACCGGGCCCTTGCCACTAGAACGCCTTCCTAGATGGAACCTGGGATGAAACCTCAATGTGTACGGTGGGTAGTACCCATTGAAAGGAGCTAGGCTCTTAAAGCCCCGGATACATGATTCTATACTAAGGTGAAAATGGGGTAGGTAGGGCGTACTCGAAGGCGTGTGGATAATCACGAAGGCCCATGGAAAAGAGCTCACTCACCATATCCTCTTAACCCTACATGAAAACCATAGCTAGGAGGATTTGACCCTAGGCAACCATCTCATCTCTAGCGATCTCCCAACCACTTAGTTGGTTGTTCAGAAGTAGGTTAGGTTAGATTCTTCACTAAACTTTTTATTCGATTAGATAGTTGTCCAGAGCGAAGTAATAGTAAGCTTAGGGTTTCCTTTGAATACGACTGAACCACTTTGCTACAACCCTAACTAGGTTATGCTTGGTTAGTTAGGATTGAATAGAGAGTGTGCACGGACTTATAAATTTAAAGCTCGATCACACAAGCGATCGCTTACCTCAGCTGAATAGCAAACACGATTTTGTCGAAGTGGTCCCTCGAAGTTCACTTTAGTCGGCTATTACAAAAGAGAGCGATGGGTGGGGAAGGTCTGGTTTGGAAAGAAATGGTTAGAGAGCGATGGGTGGGGAAGGGCTGGTCTAGAAAGAAATGGACAGAGAGCGATGGGTGGGGAAGGGGATATAATGCCCTAATTTTCCTCTTCGTCAACGAGAGAACAAAGAACAGAGGCGAGCGAGAGGAGCGGGTGACAGGAGTGGGTTAGGGTTCTGGGTAAGGAGTAGATCTTGCAAGCGGCAACAATGACAGCGTCTTTAAACGACCGATGGCCTTTCAATCTGAGAGAATGCCACTCGTCGGGGAAGAAGGGGAAAAAAAGAATGGTTAGGGTTTAATTTTTGTTTTGCTGGATTCAGAAAGAGGCAAGGAGATAAGATGGCGATGGGTGGCCGAAATTAATTTTGAATTTTTTCTTTATTTATTAATTAGATAAAAAAAGAATTTTGATTTTGATTTTTTTTTTGTTGATTGCATGCCCACACATTGAGGTGTGCTTCGTTGTATTGAAGCTTAAAATTTAGTAAAAGCATTTCATTCAACGGAAAAAGATTATATGGGTATAATTCGGACTAGAATAATGTATTAACACTTAGGATTAACCTCTTCTTAAGTATTGTATTCTATTTATAATCAAAATAACATGCGAAAGCATGGGTTACACAATCTTATTCTCAAGGTTAAGCTTGACTATCCTTAAGCCTTACTGACCAATAACAACTCCTTTAAGCCTCCACGGTTGTAATGGAGCACTCCCCCAAGTTGCAGGCGCAGACATCTAAGCAGTTAATTGGAAAGTCCCTAATAACTCGTCCTGCATTAGTGCATCCTATAACTCCAATAACCGAGCCATCTGAGTGCACTTGAATCCACCCTTCCCTTGGAGGTTCCCAACTGACCTCCTTCTCAAAAGGCGTACTTTTGTAGTTTTGTACAATTCCAAACTCAAGCTTGTGCTCTCTTTATCCTCTTTATGGATATTATATCAGACTCTGGCTCTATTAATCAGTCCTTCCTCTAAGTACTTCTTCTCATCCATAGTCTCCTCATTCTTTTTCTTCCAAACGATCCAGCATATGATTCCAAAATTCACACCCATTTCAGCAGCCTTGATGTTTCATTTGATCCAATCCTGAAAATTGAGGCCACTTTTTGCTATTTAATCTTACATTTGTAATGATTCCATAACTCTTTTGTCTTCTTGAGCTCTTGACTATATGTTCCACAGTCTCTTCCTCTCTTGCGCGGTAGTTACAATATCCATTCCTTGTGATTTGTCGTTTCTTCCTTTATGCATTTGTTAGCAGTCGATTACGTGAAACAAGCCAAAGAAAGAGCTTGATTATTTTTGGGTCATCCCATCTCCACAGATTTTCCATTACTCACATGGTTCATCATCCGTCTCTCCAACAAGGAGATCGTAAGCTAACCACAACCTAAACATCTCATCCTTTTCGATACCCCAAATTGTTCTATCATCTGCGAAGTTAGGATTTCAGGTGTCCATACCTACAACGCAAACGAGAACTTCATTAAAAAAAATAATCTTTAAGTCTTTCCCAATCTCACACTCGCCTTCCCTTGTAATCCAATTAGCAAAACTAGTGTATTTCTCCTCTTTAAAAAGGTCCATTAGAACGAAATTCTCAATTACATACTGTACAGTGTCATGGTCATCAATATTCATTATGAAAAAATTTACAAGGAAATCAAAGGGTCCAACTTTAACTAAAGCATATTCATATACTTCTTTAGGGTGTCTAAAGGTTTTATATGCTAGTTGTATGGTCATACGAGTAGGAACAAGGGGTTACTTGGTCTTAAGCTTCTTATAAACACATGCAGGTATGACATTGATACTAGCTCCTAAGTCGACAAGACAATTGTCAAAGTTCATTCTATCAATGGTACAAGGCAAAGTAAAGCTCCTTGGATCCCTCAATTTCTTTGGCAAGGTGTGTTGAGTTACTATAATAGAATAGTGTTTGTCGAGGATAACAAATTTAGAATGAAGCCATTCTCTCTCAAATGCCAAGAATTCTTTCATATATTTGGAGTATTCTGGGATTCTACCTAGTACGTCTACTAAGGGCATGTCTACATGTAGATTGCTCACATCTCCCAGAGTTTCGAGGAAAATATCATCATTCTTCTTGTTTGTCTTGAGCCTCTCAGGATATGGTGCTTCTACCATCTTTGAGTTGTCTGCTTCCCTTGTAGAGTGCCAGATGGAGGCTCCTTGCTCCCTTTCATGATTTGGTGGGCGAGTTGGATGTTTTCCTTCTGGCCTTGATGGTTCTTCAATTATGATGTCTTCATGCGGAGGTAGGGGTGTTGACTTTCTCGTTTTCTCCTTAGAGGTTCTCGTGGTGTTATAAGGTAAATAGGTGGCTAGGTCTCCTTCCCACTTCTTGTCACTACCTTTGACTGATCGTGTTCTTTGTGTTCCTTGAGCTTCCTTAGCTTCTCATTCATATCGAATAGGCGCTCCTCATAAGATTCCTATAAAGCTTTCAACTCTTGCTGTGAGGTCTTGATGCTTGAAAGATCATCTCGAATATCTTGTATTCTTTTATTCTTTCGCTCTAGGATTTCTTAATGGAGGGCAATGCTTTTGTTGCAAGAGGGGTCAGATCCAACTCTAGATTGGTTGACTTCTCTATGAATGATAAGATTTTGAACATCAGAAGCAGTTCTGAGAGTTCTCATGTCAATTACTTGGAGTGCTTGTTGAACTTTGCTCATGTTTGCCTTGATTTTGTTTAGTTCCTTTAGTTCCCCACAAAAGAAGGTAAACCAGTGTTGACTTGCGCATATCTTAAACTTCAATTAAATGTCCAGCAGTAAGGAGAATTTTGATTTCCATTGAGAAAGAGAAAAAATAATGGTTGGACTAGGTGAACAAGTACGCCGACAGGTAGAGGAAGCAGTGGTACGACAAAAGGATATTTTACGAAAGCGGCAAGTAGCTGGAAGTGGACGCGTTCAAGAAACTAGAGAGGCATAAATTTTTGAGCAATATCGAGAAGGTCGGCCTGCTCGATAAGACAAAAGAGATGGGAGTCACACTATCGTCGATCGAGAAGCTAGGCTTGTTCTCCAAAGCAGAGGAATTGAGGCTGCTCAGCTGTTAGAGAAGGTGGCCACCGTTTAACCAGCGACACTCGTGTGCACAGCGCTTCCGCCGGTGGTAGCAGCAATACTGATAATACCGGATGATTCGGCGGGGATAGTGGTTGTTTAGCTATGGTCTCCGGAGCACTAGGAATCGGCTCTGCTGGGCTGTTTGTTAGCTTAGTTTGCTCGAAGGATTGCTGGAAACTTATTGAAATGTGGAAATATTCTGTATTTTTTGGGGTTTTAATGTTTGTTGGGATAAACTTTCTAGGTTTGTTTTATATTAAATCATTTTGGATTCTGAATTGAGAGATTGGTAGAAAATATAATCACAATGATCGGACTACTGTTCTATGATAAATCATCGCCAAGGTAAAAATAGAAACAATCAGGAAAAAGTGGAGATGCGGGGTATCGATCCCCGTACCTCTCGCATGCTAAGCGAGCGCTCTACCATCTGAGCTACATCCCCATTTGCCTTTATGACTTCTCACGCAGGGTGAAATCCATGGTACCGCATACCTTGAATATGAAAGCTCTATCCATACCTTGAATTGACTGATCTTTCGAACATGATACTATACCCTAACCCTTAAATATCAAAATTTAGGTCTTGATTCTCTAAACCTTATACCCCAAGATCAGTTTAATTAGAAACAATTATCGACGGTTGTGATTCGTCCAAATATAGGTAAAAAAAAGAATGCACCATCTTAGGGTTTATAGTTTATGATTTAGATAATTAGGACCTAGGGTTCACTCATTAAGGGTTAGGGTATAATATTAGGCCAAAAAATCCTGCTAATATGAGGTTTAGATAGCATTGTCATACTCAAGGTATGCGAACCCTGAATTTCATTGGGGTACTTAGAAGTCACCATATATGTGTGTGTTTTGTTCACTTCTACACCACCAAGATGAACGTGGTGGTAGCAGATAGGGGTGGCAGTCGGTGCGCCAGTGGTTAACCGCACCACATTTTGCGGTTAACCACAACCACAAATCTCTAAATACCCTAACCACAAATCGCACTCATAAATATATCTATATTTTTCTTTTAAGTTTGTTATCAATAACAAAATATAAATGATGATATAAACGGTAAAAATTAAGAATAATATTTCACATATGGAAGATATATCCAATAAAATATATACAAAAAAATAGAGCAATAAAATATGTGGAGAAAATCATGAACAAAATAAAAAATCGATAAAACTATTAAATAACAATACACTATTAATTACAATTCGACGTCATTCTTATTCAATAAGATGTCAATAATTTAGTAATTAGTAGACATTAGAATCTTCTATAACTAATTCAACAATGTAACAAATAACTTGTTAAAGTGCTAACTACTAAACTTTAGACAAGTCTTCTGAATTTGATAAATATACTTATTAATATTAGTTATTGCATACTATTTGGTATAAAAATAAAATTTCAATAGATAAGTGTGGGTTGTACCGTTATTATTATTTGATCACATTAGTTAGTACTTAGTAGTTAACTACTAACCACTAAATTCACAATTTTACTAATCACAATAAAATCACTAATCCAAAATGCGGATAAAGATTAATCAAACTACGTGTGTGGTTTGATGCAATTTGCTATTAAACCACAAACCAAACTTCCACCCTAGTAGCAGAGTTGCTTACTCCTCTCTTTCGCTTGATTCTTGAGAAGAAATGAAAAGACGAGATAAAATGCTTCTTACCTTCGAAGACTTCCGGTAAAATTAAGCTATTGGCAGTGGCAGCCGCAGTCTGTATATAGAAGGAAGATTTACCAGGGACTTGGCGCAAAGTTCCATTTAAGAAGCTTCTCCTATCCTAAGAGCTTGGTACAGCTTCCATTGAATTCAGTCTGTTTTTGGGTTTTGGCAAGGCTCGGGGTTAGGGTTTCCGATTATTCGTTTCCTATTCATTTCGTGGGGTGTTAGTGCCGTCATTTGATACCTAGATTGCGTGCAGTAGTTTGTATTTCCCTTCTTGCAGTCGTGACATAGATGATGCCTATTGGTTTTTGCAATCGGAACTGGTTACTCATAAAACAATCCACAACCAGAGTAGCACTGAAATGACAAGGTTTATTGTATTAGAATCTCAATACATATCAGTACAGGGTGGAAACATAATGCTTTCTAGTAACTGCTCGCGATCAAGAATAATGCGAAGCTAGCTAGTATACATATCTTGGATAGTTGTTAGTAATGACGGTGAAGTTGATTCAGAAAATAAAGATGCTGAGTCTTGGTGAGTAGGTTTATCTGCTCACTCCGCTGATTCAGCCTCAGTTGATCTGTACTGGTAGCGGCATGCCCAAAACAGATAGTGTAAGAAGTTGATTCCACTCAACACACACATCAACCAGTAAAACCTCTCTAGGCGATACTCATTCAAGTTGCTACCTTGAAGCCAAGGCGTGTGTCCATAGGCATCCGTGATGCTATTCACTAACGAAACGATCACAGAACTTAGATAGTATCCCATTGCCAGTGAGGCCCAAGACAATGATGTGGCCAATGACCTCGTGCTCAATGGTGCTTCCGAGAAGAAGAAGTCCATCATTCCGGCCAAGGTGAAGAGATCTGCTGATCCAAGGAACACATACTGCAATGCTATCCAAAGGAATGTCATGGGCAGAGGTTCAGCAGAAGCATTTAGGAATCTTAATTGTGTTGCAGTTCTCTTTCGCTTGCTCTCCACAATGGCTGCCACCATCATTGCTACAACTGAAAGAACCAGTCCTGTCCCTATTCTTTGCAAATGGGTGATCCCCATTTCGGATTTTGTAACTTTCCTTGCAAACGGAATGATGATGTGGTTGTAGACCGGTGCCAGGATCATGATGAAGATGACAGGAAATATGGGGAGCGAAGCTGGTGGGACTTTGAAGGAACCTAGTTTGGTGTTCATTGTTGCTGCTTGTTGCACAGAGAACGTAGATAGCTGGGCGAGGCAGCAATTGAGCATTATGGTAGACATGAAGATCGGGAGTATCCTCACCACAATCTTTACCTCTTCTACCTCATTGGTTTTACATTGGAGCATTCTGTAGGCTGCATTCTTGTTCCCCGTTGCTCTGTTGAGGAAGTTGAGGCTCTCTGTTGCAGTTGTTTTGTTTGGAGTCTTGCTTTGGTCGGTTCTATCTTCTCCTTCACTGGTAGTAGTAGTAGTGGTAGAACAGGAGCTTGTCTCCATTCCCATGATAGCATTACTAGGACTCCTAGATTTGCAGGCATTGTAAATTGCTGCTGCGAGAACCTACAGGAAAGGATAATTTAGTGACCAATGGAGCTTTATGCATTACTTTTTACTATTATGATGATGGCTGGTAGAATAATAAATGGTACCTTGAAAAGGGTTGTGATGGGGCTGCCTGTAGGAATTTTGGTCCTATAAGTTGGGGAGCCAAGGATGAAGACTGGTATCGATAGGAATATTGCAGTGGTAGCAGTTCCCAAACCCCATTGCCAACCTTTGTTGTCTTCAATCCAAACGACAAATGTAACCGCAATCAAAGCTCCACAAGAGAGGCAGAACACATAGTAATTGAAGAATGCTGATCTCTGCTTTCTTCCTAACTGTGTGGTCGCATCGAATTGCTCTGCACCATGTGGAGGAAGCGAACCTTTGATCCCTCCAACACCTAGTGCCACCATATAGAGGCCTGTGAAGAGCATTGCTGCTTTCTCACCGTTTGCTTCTTCACATGGGATGCTAGTGTTGGTGACACATGATGGTGGTTTCAATGAGGTGATACCAGCTTGGACTGTAAGCACTGACAATCCCTGGTTCATAGGCCAAATTGAATAGATTAGTTGCAGTCTATGAACCTTTGATATCTGATATTCCGGTTAAAACCAGATACCTGGTATGTTGGTCAATGTAACTGTGATTTCAAGCAGTAGCTCACCATAAGGCATTTAGTTTGTAAGTGGACCATACAAAATCAGAGCTGTGGGACCAGCTACCTTAGTTCTGGATGGAATATTTCTGGTACATTTCATATCTTTCTAATTATTTCCTGGATTTTCAATGCCCTGGCTGGTAGGGACCTTTTTTAATACAAATGAATTTTTGTAATGGGTGCATATTTTCTATGAGTTCAGGTCCTCTCATAGGCCATGCTACTTCTTTGACATTTCAGAGATGCCAGAGGTGAGATTTATTGTACTCTGGTCCATATCTTAGTAAGTACTTTTGCAATTTTCTAGAAAAGCCATTCCCTCTTTCTTTTATTAGCTACTTAAGATTGATGTCTGTAGCAATTTTGCTAGTTTCAGTAGCTTAAGTTAATTCATATCCTAGTATTTGAAATAAAATAATATCCAACTCCTAGGATGCAAATGTTTAAAAAGAAAAAGGGAGCTGCTTTTCATAGTGTAATCAATCATTCACCAGAGAAGAGGCGTCAATCAAGAGCACTGTAGCATAATAAGTCAGTAACTTACCATGAATTCGATTACTGCGCTTATTAAATAGATGCAGTAGGTGCTGAAATAGGCATCGGCTAGAAAACCGCCAACCAGAGCTAGGAGGAAGGATGTGCCCATGAAATTAGTTACAATATTCGCTGAGCCAGATGGAGAGAAATGCAGGAACTTTGATAGGTAGAGTACAAGGTTGCTTGCATTAGCCAGAAATGCTAGATTTTCTAGTACCTCCACAACTGTTGTCGTTTCATGATTAGAAAAATGAACTGGTTCAGCAGATGTGAGAGGTATAGCACCTATATTTGCATATCAAGTTAAGTTCTTGGTAACATGAAGAAGCGCTTACAGTTGTACTTACCCAAGACAAACGTTGCTGCTATCATTCCACCATGACGGCCTCTCATAGCAGGCTTGTTCCTCCAGTCTACATAGCCTTGCCACATATTCAAATTTTGTGCTTCGTCCTGCAATCATGTTTCAGCAAATATCACATATTAATAAAGTTTTGAAGTAAAGACCGGGAGACACATTGGAACAAGAGCTCGAAAGCAGCCTTACCATCTCTGTCTCCACAGACTACTCTTAATGTACTCGGTGTCTAATCCTGGATCTCTAGCTTTCTGATTGAATTATGTTTTTGAGCTGGCGAGGAATCATTTGGTTCATATATATAGGGGCAGGCATGGTGGTCCTTCCAACCCATGGAGAAAGGTCTAGATGAACATGAAAGTGACAATGTATTTTCTGATATGGTGTATGCTAACTTTTTCTACAGTGACAAAGGAGGATGGCGTGGTGTATTTTGGATCGCTTAGCTACTGCCAGACCGCAATGAAGAAGTGAACAATAAAGTGCACAGGCACAATATTCAGAAAGAAGGTACACAAAAACCAACCCTTTTATTGATATCCACTTAAATAGCTGTTACGTATTAAAATTTGGTGAACATAGTGGCTTAATGCAATGAGTTGGCGATCTTTAGCCTTAATGGGGGAGCAATGATATAGAATACCACTAAGATTACTGGTCTCTGGAGTTATCTATGCTGATTCAGAGAACTATTTTCTATATACCGTTCAATGATGTTAACCTTGAATAAGCATATCTCTGATGATTAATCTTAATAACTATATGGATTCACCCTTGTCGAACAAATGATTGTGGTTATATGTAAATGATATACTATGCTGGTTTTTTGTTGTCGTAGAAGCCAAAGTTAGATGTTGGGGCTGTTTGTTTGGAATTAAGCGATCTACTTTTGTAGTTTGAATTTGGTATGGATTTGTTTTAAATTGCAAGGGTGATTCTTTAACCTGAAATGAGATGATTCCTTGTTTACGTACAATGCCGCTAAGTTTTTTTTGGTTAATCTAGGACTGTCTCAACTAGTTTTTTTATTTTATACATAGTTTTTTTTTTGTGCCCTGGATCAAACAACTTATTTGAAGTTCTAGTCCAAATTAAATGTTGTATTAGCTATTCAAATGGGTCCCAAAATGACAGTCACACCACATTCACACGACAACATGGTAACACCACTGCGTAGTTAATGCTAATCACAAAACACTAGTGGCTTCGCCAGTTATTTGTTCTGTTATTTCCATTATGTATATGCGTGTTTTAGTTAAATGCAATTGTCATTTATCAAGGAGGAACTACCCAAATTGGGGAGATTTGGATGGAGAGAAGCATTTCTATTTCCAGTACTTTGCATAAGAACAGGGCAAATTACGCCTTCCAATGTTGTGGTGCTTTCACCCAACTTGGACTGGCACTTATTCCTCTGGATACTAGAATGATCAGTCATTGTCTCTTTGTTTCTTCTTCTTTTGTAAACTTAATTACTGGAGTAATCTTAGTAGTGGCCAGGCCCTCATTCATCATTTCAGGGTCTTTTTTTTCTGGGCCACCTGTAATATTTTGTTCCCCACATCACGTGAATGTGTGGATCATATTCTTCTAGAAACCCATGGATGCACTGCATGATCAGAGAGGTCTCCAACTTGGGTGGCTAGGAGAGAATGACAGGATGGGTCCCTTCCGTGCTAGGAGGATTAGCTCTACTCCCTTTTCCCCGCTTCACTCATTTTTCTAGTTTGAGGAACCGGATGAAGATAGATCATGTGTAGCTGAATACTATTTTGCTTTCCTAACCTGGCAGTGAAAAGGGTTGAAGTTATTAACAAAGTGGTTGGCCACTTCGTATTCGTTGAGTATGTCAAGAGCAGTAGTTATGAAAGATTTTATAGGTATGAGGAGGATAAAACTTGGTTTCTATTCCGCAGACTGCTACTGGACTATAAAGCCACCAATTTAACTAGCCTGAACTGTTTAATTTGCTTCATATAGTAAAGTTGTGGAGATGTTAATCGAAACTGTAGAATTCACAGATTTTTGCTTCTTCTTGTCCTGTAATGTTACTGGGTGAATGATGATGGAGTCTTTTGTATGCTAAGATTCTAGTCTATCTAAGCGTCGTTGTCATAGAGCTCCGAAAGGGTTGCTTAATGAAGACCCATAGGATATACTTGTTAGTATCAATATGCACAGCTTTAAACTCTAGGGTAGATCAATGCTCTCTTAGTATTCATTAGAAGAAAGTGAAAAAAAAAGAGGAAGAATTAGTACATCTAGTAGTCGGAAGGGTCTGATACAACTTTACAACTCTTCAAATAGATACACTGTGTCATTCACTTGCTCGGATGCTTACAATCTACAAAATTTTCTTTTGCTTTTGTCTGATTCCTCAACGGAAGGACTAATTTTACCTCTTTCACTTTGGAATACCCAGGATGTTTTTGGGTTATTGATAGCCTTGTGTATTATCTCTGCTTGTTTGGTCCTCCTTTTCATTCTCTAACTTCACAAGAGTGAGATCAGGCTGTCAATATCGGTATTAGGTCTGCTCTCTACAGTGCTTTTGTATTTCTCTCGCCTTGGAGTATGAGAGAAGTGTAGAATTCAGTAGTAGTAACCATCAATAGCTATACAGTGACAGAGAATGGCATTGCTTCGCAACAAACCTAAGAAGTACTAGCACCCGGAAGCGACATTGTCTTTTGCCCTCACAGATGTGACTGGCAGCAACTTGTTATTCATCTTTACTTGCACAGGCTGGTGAATGGCCTTTTTTGACCTTATGCTGCTGCCACTGTGACATGAGCTTCGTAGATGTAGCAGTCATTCGTGAGCCTTCTAGAGACACCAGCCTCGTTTGTGGTCTTCTGAATCGTATGTGCCTCTTTCGTTACACAGTGAATGATGGGAATTGAATGGAAGTACTTGTAATCGATGGTTGATTTATCATGTTTAACACTCTGTTGCAGATCAGAGATTGTGGGGGAAACAAATCGTGGTGGCCATGGCAAGCCAGTACCAGAAATGATCAAGACTTGAGGAAGGAGGGAGTGACCATATAGTACTGAAGGAGCAAAGTTGTCAATCGCAGCCACAACCCAGTGTGAGAGATGAAGGAGACATATTGTGTTGGTGTGTATATTTTGGTACATTGTGCTTGCTGTTTTGTCAATCCTTTGATAGAAGCCCATACGAAAAGGAATTTATGCGTGTCTGGTTGTGGAGAGTGACCACTAGGGGCGGTGGATGTGAGCCAACGATTCAAGTGCTGCAATTTGTGTCCTTCTCCCATGTGAAACTCTAACAGGTCAATGAAGGGTGATGGTATAGTTCCGTGGAAAGATCCCAATCCCAGAGCATCTCATTCACTAAGTTTGGGGCTTTCCAAGTAGCGAGGAGCTTCATGGGTCATGGTTAATTTAGGATTCGACTATGGCCATTGAATGTGAAGATGCAAAGGGGGAATCGAAAAAGGGGGTAGAAACTAGAAAGTAACAAAGGGAGGATGATGAGAAGAAGTGAGAGTGGTCGATGTGTAGCTGGCTGTCCAACATCAAGAGAGTAGATAGGGTCATCTGCATGCCCCTTCCAACGAGTCCAAAAGCCTAAACGTTAACATTGTACAGCGAAAATGGACCACCACGACCCGACCTCCACAACCACTCTACAGGATCAGGATCGGTTAGCATGCTAATCCTTTTTGGAAAATTGACACTCCTATTAATTATAGTTATTTTTTTATTAAATTCGTGTTGCGTTTAATAATCTTTGGAAATTAAAAACTCATCTTAATTATATTTTTTTTTAACTACCATTACACATGTATGTTGAACTCTTATTAAATTACGTTCCTTTTTTAGAACTACCATTGCACTGATACATCTACCATTGCAACTGTACACTAATATCATTGCATTGATACAACTACCAGTGCACTGAAAAAAGGAAAGTAATTGATATGTGTTTTTAATTCATACAGATTATTAAATGCAACACAAATTAATTACCTTAAAAACATATAATTAATAGGGGTGTCATTTTTCCAACCATTTTAGGGGTAGGCATGCTATCTCATCCCCTACTCTACCAAGACCAAGGTTGTTAAACCTCTATTGGACCCCGGTTGAACCTGGACCGATCTAAGTCGGGTTTCAAATCGACCTCCAGAAAGCCCCTCGGTCTGACCCCTAACAAGGGAGAAGAAGAGAGGGGAAAGAAAGGAAGAGGAACGATGGAAGAGAGATGGTGGGTGGGTCATGAAGGTTAGGTAGATTTACTTTGTGACAAATAAGTTTTTAATAGATACATGTAAGATAAATTTCATTTCAGTTATTAAATCTTTAATTAATATATTATTTGTATATATATTTAGAAAACGTCTAAAACGGCTCAAACCGGTTGAGCTCCGATCAGACCATTAAACCTCAAACCCTTACTTGACCTGCTCAATGACTTAAAACGGTTTGACAACCTTGACCACGACGAAAGATCTGTGGGGTGGTGGGTACGTAGCAGTGGTGCCAAATTGTTTGGGATCGATTAAAGTTGGTAGACCCAGCTTGCCACTTCATGCACGACATAGTCTTGCAAATTACCAAAAGTAGTGATGGTAATTTGAACCCGATGTTCGACTTGACACGTGATGGGCGGGTATTATCCAACCCACAGTAGCATGGAGCGGGACATGGGTATTTACTTCTGATCCGTTATACCCTGTCTCGCCCCGTTTTTTGTTCATTCTATCTTAATTTCTTGTCGTATCTATTCATATTTCTCATATTTTGACTTCTCTTCAACTAGTAAGACTCAATTACCATTCGATTATCACTGTTTTTCATTTATAAAGTGTTTTCTCCTTCATTTTATTATTAAAAAAAATTACGTACATTTTTTTCAAATAACATGTAAAAGTGGGTCGATCCGCTCCACCCCGCCCGTACATGCAAGAGTATTGCTCGTCCCGATCAACAATAACGTGACACAAGACATGTGTATTGAGATATCCGCCCGCCCATCCATCACTAACCAAAAGCCTTTTCCTCCAACGGTGAAGCAATATTTTTTAGGAAGCTTTGGTGGAAAGGTGAAACAGCCTGACCCCGGAACCACCTCTACAGAACCACGAAATGGCAACGAAAGGACTCTTAAGAGTTTCACAATGGGTCATCTCGGCTATTTGTCAACATATGTACTGCCTTAATGTAACTGTCACTGTTACCTTTGTACAACATGTACCCATGTCCCAGAGTCTGGAAATGCTACACAATTTATGGTCCCTTGATCTCCAAAACATTTTTATGTACCATAGCGTGATGAATAACATGGAAAACATAGTTTGACCCAAGGACTTTGTAAATTGTAACCCTGATTTCAGTTATATACGGCCATGCAAATAACCGCGAACTGTGTTAGAGTTTGGGGCGATCAAAGTTAGGGTCAGGGATATGAAAATAGGCTGCTTTTAACCCACCGGTTAAAAGAAGTCTTAACCATTTTTCTTAATGGTTAACAATCATCGGGTTTGTGGTTCACTAAAAAACAATAAATTTCTAAGAACCCGATAGTAAATAAATCGAAACTCGAATGCCTAAACACAAGCTTACCAACAACATTGGGTCGGTTTCTAAACGGTTCTATGCTCCTTCAAACAAAAACCAAACCTTTGTGGTTTCGTCATATATTAGCGGTTTGGTTTGGGTCGGTACCGTCAGGGCTGGGCAGCAGATAGGGTCAGTAACCACTTGGTTACTGACATGTCAGTAATGAATAGGGACCATAGATCTAAGAGGTAGGCAATCGTGTGGTTGGGCCGGACGCTGAGTGGAGAAGGGTATTTTTGTCCGTTTATACATTAAATTCTTTATTTTAATTTATTTCGTATTTAATGGCTGCACTTTTAAGAAAGGAAAGAGAAATCACTTCTCTGCAATTTTCTATTTTCCTTCTCTCTTCCTTTTTCTCTCCCAATCTCTTTTCCAGATCCTCTCTCTTTCTCTCTTCCTTTTTCTCTCTCAATCTCATTTCTAGATCTAAATCTGCTCCCTTCTCTTCTTCTTTACTTTTTCATGACGAATAAAAATTGGAGCCACTCTTTTTCATTGCATTTCTTCTCTTCATCATCTCATTGGCCTCAATTTCGATCTTTCTAATTTTTTCGGCATTTTGGTGTTCTTAATTGCGGAAGAGGAAATGAGAGGCGACACAAGACGATATTTTTTCTCTACCTCCTTCTGTTTTTTTTTCTTTTAGATAATATATATTGATATTATAACTCTATACCATATGGTATTCGGTGGTAACGAAATATATATTGATATTACCACACTATACCATATGGTAATGTATGGTAACGAACTATATATTGATATTACCACACTATACCATATGGTAATGTATGGTATTGTGTGGTAACGAATTATATATTGATATTACCACACTATACCATATGATATTGTATGGTATTGTGTGATATTACCACACTATACCATATGGTATTAGGTGGTAACGAAATATATATTGATATTACCACATTATACCATATGGTATTTGGTGGTAACGAAATATATATTGATATTACCACACTATACCATATGGTATTGGGTGGTAACGTAATATATATTGATATTACCATATTATACCATATGGTATTGGTGGTAACGAAATATATATTGATATTACCACACTATACCATATGGTATTGGGTGGTAACGTAATATATATTGATGTGTTAAATTTTTTTCATACCATATGGTATGGTCAATACCAGTCAATACCATATGGTATAGACTGGTAATAACTGACAAATTTTTTTATGTCCAAAAAATATCAAAGTGGATATCATTTTGAAGAGCACA